GACATTCTCTTCCACCTCCCCTCCTTAATGGTAAGCATTGCTAGAACAGCTGGCTAGAGTGGCAGGTGCAGCAGTGACTCCCTGGGATCGAGGGGAACCCTAAGATTTTGCCTGGAGTGAGCTTACCACAATCTCAGTAGTGTCACTGTTTGCCCTGTCCAACCCAAATTCCTCCAACAAGCAGACAGGGTTGTGGACACTTCCTGGGTTGTCCTTGAACCCAAAGGGATTGCTTCATGCATCTCCACTTTCTTGTCATTACTTGACCTCAACCCCAGGGTTGAAGTCCAGGAGCTGCCTTGTCAGTTCCTCCATCTGCCAGCCAGTGCTTCAGGTTGCTGGGGGTCCCACCCACGACTGGGGTCATCCAAGGGCCTAATGAATGCCTTCTAACCCAGAAATTAAATCAGTTAAGATCACTTATATGCAAGACGCTAAGCTATACCCCGTGAGAAGTACAAAAGAAGTATAACAGACGGTCCTTGTGTTCTGGAGATTGATAGTCTAAATTGGAGGAGAATGATAAATACATATGAAGAAATAACCAATGGTTTAAGGCAGAAAATTATACATCTTGAAGACAAGAACTATAGGAATTTATTTTTAAATGTTTACTTATTTATTTTTGAGAGAGCAAGTAGGGGAGCAGAGAGAGGGGAGCAGAGAGAAAGGGAGACAGAGGATCTGAAGCAGGCTCTGCACTGTCAGCACAGAGCCTGATGCGAGGCTCAAACTCACGAAACTGAGATCATGACCTGAGCCCAAGTCGGAAGCTCAACGAACTGAGCCACCCAGGTGCCCCTAACTGTAGGAATTTAGAGGTGAAAAAGATCCCTCTGAATTGGGAAGATCAGAGCAAATTTTCTGTGTGAGGGGAGAGTCATCCTGGGACCTTGGGACGGATCTCAAGGAACAGTCAAGAGTTAAACCAAGATAAAGAAGATTATGAAAGGTATGTTTAAGAAAATAGACAGAACCAGCTTGGCTAGAATTGAGGCACTCGGTGGAAGAGAAGTCAGAGACAAAGTTCGAAAGACAGGTTTGCCAAACTGTGGCAGGCCTTGAATATCAGGCTAAGGAATTTGAATCTTATTCTGCAGATGAAGGGGGAACTGACCATGGCTTCCAAGATAGAGTGACCTAAAGAGGCCTCTCAACCCCGAAGGAGGTCTCCTTCTCCTACATCCCAGCTTGTCTAAAGGCATTGGTTTGGGAGCTATAAGGATTCCAACCTTCTGTCAGTACTGTGCCTCCTCTAGACCCACAGCTGTTCCAGGAAAGGTCGTGAGAATTCAAAGACCCAAAGCAAGTCCCACATATGACCCTAACTTGCTGTTTGTTTCACTTTCCCTGTCTACAGAAATGAGCCCATTACCTTTATTTATCCTATAGGAGAAACAAAATTAGGATAACAGAACTTGGATCTGCTCCTGCTTGTAGGGAAACTCTCATGGGCTTTCCATCGGTATCCAGAGGCTGTGTGGAACTCCGGAAGGGGGAGAGGCCTGGCTCTAAAGGGTGGGCACCAATCCAGGTCCAGCCCTCCTCCCAGCCAGCTCCCCTCACCCCCTCTCAGCACAGAGGAGAGGAAGCGGCAGCTGTTGTCCTGTGGGGAAGACAGGCAGAGGTCCACCTGGCACTGCTGGGATTTTCACAGCACCCGCCCTAGTGACTTTAAACACACACACACTCACACACACACACACACACACACGCACACAGCATGGCATTGGCCTGGGCGTGTTTGGGCCAAGAGCAGTGACTATGGCGATAGAATGAGAAAGCAGAGGGTAGCTGCCTCATAACCCTGGGGTGAGGCTGCTTGTGTGAGGGGCTGTCTTCCCTCCCATCTTCTCTCAACACTTTGTTTTCTTGCTCCCCCCTTTCTAATTTTTCTCTTTTCCCTTCTGCCAGACTCTCGGATCAGTCCTTGGCCTGATGCCTGACCCCTTTTATTCTCCCTAATCTTATCCGCCTTCCTCCATCTTTTTTCTCTTGCCCCTTACATGTGGTGGAGAACTGGCAAAATTATCCCGCTGACTGCAAAGTGAAGCAGATCTTGGAAGCTGAATAGTTTGGGCAAATAAACAAAATCACCTGCCTTCTCCAAATAATTGAGGCAAAGTAGAGGTTTCGACCTGAATTGTGCAGATGGTGGTTTCAACGCTTTAATTTTTGGGTGCAGACCTAAACCTTTACTCCCTCTCCCCTTCGGCCTGAGACACAGTAGGGCTGTGTTTTACTTTCACGCAGCACTAAGGTGGTTTTCTGGAGAAACCAGCATAATGGTATTGAAGAGCAAACTGAGATACTTATAATGACAGGAAAACACAGGAGCACAGGGCAGTGCAAGTCGTGGTTTGGAAACATCTCACTCTAGAATAATGAGAAGTGAAGAGTTTTGGCTAGGAATTCAAATGAGTTCTTGGCCTTCCCACTGTCCCCCTTCTTCGCCTCCTCTAACATCCCTGCCCCCTGCCTCCGGTCCAGGGCCGGACAGGCCTGTGCTGATCCACATTCTGTCCACAGTCTGCTTTAAACCATGGATTTTATTTCCAAACATTTGCATTTCTACAGCAGCAGAGGCATAATTCTCTATCCAGAAGTTCAAACTGCAAAAAGAGTCAGGCACCTTAACAAAGCAGTGAATGCTGTTCCCACAGCCAAGGCCTCGCTGAGGGCAGAGCGCAGGAGCCAGAGGCCTGTGTGAACTTGCTCCTGGTTCTCTGTCGCCATCTAGCGGTGCTTCCCATCTCCAACACCACTTTTTCTTCCAAAAATCATCCTGTCCCTCAGCGGGGGCACTCCAACTACTAAAATCATGTTCCCCTGGCCTCAAAACAAAAAGCTCCTCTTCCCGACTCGAAATTCTGACTTCTAGACCAGAACGCAAACTTTACAATAAGACCGTTCACATGGCTTCTCTACAGTTACAATCTACATGAGGGCTTTTCACTTCCTCTACTTAGAACCCCCTCCCCCCCATCCCAGACCTCCGCAGTGTGAGCAGAGTAAAGGTCACAACCCTTTACTGGTCTCTGAGGCCTTCCATGGTCTGGCTGCTGGTCCCTCTCTGACGCCATCATCCTTCACCTCCTCCAGCCATGCTGACCTCCTTGCTGTTCCAACACCCCAGCGTCTGTCTGCTTTAGGGCCTTCGCAGCGCTGTTCTGTTTGGACCACTGTTCCCCACATAAACACAAATTCACTTTCTCATCTTCAGGTCTTTGTCCCAGCATCGCCTCCCTTAATGTCCCTATTTAAAATCACTGCCTAATCAAAAGACATGAAGAGACATTTTTTTTTCAAAGAAGACATCCAGATGGCTAACAGACACATGAAGAAATGCTCAACATTACTCATTATCAGGGAAATACAAATCAAAACCACTATGAGATACCACCTTACACTTATCAGAATGGCTAACATTAACAATTCAAGCAACAACCGATGTTGGCGAGGATGCGGAGAAAGGGGAACCCTTTTGCACTACTGGTGGGAATGCAAACTGGTGCAGCCACTCTGGAAAACAGTATGGAGGTTCCTCAAAAAAATTGAAAAATAGAACTTTCACTACTAGGTATTTATCCAAATTTTAAAAAATGCTGATTCAAAGGGGCACATGCACCCTAACATTTATAGCAGTGCTACCAACAATAGCCAAAGTATGCTGTCAAATGCTGAACCACTGAGCTATACCCCCAACAATAGCCAAAGTGTGGAAAGAGCCCAAACTTGCATTGACAGATGAATGCATAAAGAAGATGTGGTGTATACACACAATGGAATATTACTGGGCGATCAAAAAGAATGAAATCTTACCATTTGCAACATGTGGATGAAACTAGAGTGTATTATGCTAAGCAAAATAAGTCAGTTCAGTCAGAGAAAGACAAACATCTAGTTTCACTCATAGGTGGAATTTAAGAAACAAACAGATAAACAAAGGGGAAGGGAAGCAAACAAAAGATAAAAACAGAGAGGGAGGGGCAAGTTCCTGGGTGGCTTAGTTGGTTAGGTGACTGACTCTTGGTTTTGGCCCAGGTCATCATTTCACAGTTTTGTGAGTTCAAGCCACATATCAGGTTCTGTGCTGGCAGCATGGAGCCTGCCTGGGATTTTCTCTCTCTCCCTCTCTCTGCCGTTACCTGACTTACGCCATCTCTGTCTCTCTCAAAAAGAAATAAAAATTTAAATTTAAAAAAAACAGAGAGGGAGACAAACTATAAGAGACTCTTAAATACAAGGAACAAACTGAGGGTTGCTGGAGGAGAAGAGGGTGGGGGATGGGCTAAACGGGTGATGGGCATTAAGGAGGACACTGTTGGGATGAGCACTGGGTGTTATATTTAAGTGATGAATCACTAAATTCTATTCCTGAAGTCATTATTACACTATATGTTAACTAAGTTGGATTTGAATTATTTAAATATTTTAAAAGAATTAAACTTTGTTGAATAAGGAAAAACAATCACTGCCTATCAACCTCCTTCTTGTTCTACCTTTTTTCTTTAGCAATTATCACTTCAAGAAAAGTGTATGTTTATTTATTTATTTATTTATTTTACTATCTTTCTCCCAGTGGAATATAAGCTCCACCAAAGGTGGGGATTTTTGTCTCTCTTATTCACTGATCTATGCACCTCGCCACATAACACTCAATAAATATGTTTACTGCATGGATGAACATGAATTCAGTGTTCTGAGATCAACTACTACTAACTGCTGTTCATCTCGATTTCCCGGGCCTTCCCACCCACAGATGGTGATGCTTCTATTCCTCAGTGTCTTGGTTCTCCTGAGTGTCCTGTGCCAAGCTCACTGGAGCCCCCAGACCAGTTCCACCTGAGGCTCTCCACACAGAACTACCACAAGGGACAGGGCCTGCAAGATCAAGGCCTAAGGCAGAAAGAGGCAACCACCACCACCAACAGCATTTTCACATTTGGATAATGTTTAAGTTTTACAAACGTTAATAAAGTGAGGGAAAGAGTAAAGGACGAAAGGTATTGGGGGCCTTCTCCAGGTAAAGCCAGGTGGCTGCTCAGCACCTGGCGCTGAGGGGCCCTGAGGACTGAATCACCACAGAAGACCTGAGTCGGGTGGTGCTGGGCATCGTGACTGTGCCGATTCATTCACTTCCGTCTCCTCCATCTCCTCCAAAAGATAAGCAGGAAGTCCTGATGACAAGAAATCCTACAAAGCAATATTCTAGGCTATTTTCTCTGCATCTCCTCAGGCCACAGGAAAAGCTATCCTTATCACCGCGGAGATTGGATCTTCCCAGATTCTGTGAACCAAAGGTGTATATAGGGGATAAATGGCAACTCTCCTGAACTTCACTTGGGGTTGACACCTGGGTCAGGCGCTTTATTAGAGTCATGAAAACTATGTGGCTGGGGACCAAATCTATTCTTTGGGCATGAGGATTGAAGCTTCCTCATTGCTGAACCTGTCTAGGTGGGTACACTCGCTCCATAGGCATCCACTTACTTGGGACATGTAGGTGGAGACGCATGACCTTGATTCATTTCCTGATCCGGGATGACTCTTCAGCCTGCCCCCAAACAGAAGTGACGAAGCTCAGGCCAGCTCTTAAGGAGTTAAAAGGCAAATGATCTGAGGCCATTGTCAGGTAGGGGCAGCCTCAGTCTGCTAAGCGGGAGCTGCAGACTCCCGCTCAAGGACTCAGTGAGGAGGTGAGACCCATGGAGGTACCTGGGCGAGGAGACAGGACAGAGAAGGAATGGGCTCTGGTGCAGGTGAGGGATGAGATAGATGAAGGAGGAGGCGATAAGGACACACACAGGGGAGAGAGGAGAGTGATGCCAGGATGAAGGCACAGAGTGGGTACATGGGGGCCAGGGGGTGTCATGAAGTGGATGAGACACAGAGCCAGGGGATAAGGGCACAAAGCGGATGGGGCTTGAGGGAGAGGAAATAGAACAAAGAGTAGGAAGACAGAATGAGGGAAGACAGGGTACAAGGTGAAGGGGATTGGGACACAGTGAGTGAGGAGGGCACCCAGAGCAGGGAAGAAGGGAGGAGACCCCCGGTGAGGAAAGAAGGAGGCAGTCGGGGAGGGTAACGGTGATGAGAGAGAAGGAGTGCGTACAGGAAGATGAATTTCTCACCTCCTGCTCTCTGTCCTCAGCAACCCTCGCCCTCCATCCTGACTGTTCCTCTAAGAGAGATGGCAGCAGCCAGAGCGGGATCCCTCACTCTGCTCTTGCTCCTGCTGCTGGGGCTGTGGCTGGCTGAGGTCCCAGTCAGCGCCAAGCCCAGCAAGATGACTGCGGCTCAGTGGTTTGAAACTCAGCACGTGCAGCCCAAACCCCGGGGATGCAACACCGCGATGGGCAACGTCAACAAATACACGAAACACTGCAAAGATTTCAACACCTTCCTGCATGAATCCTTCTCCAGGGTGGCCGCCACCTGTCAGACCCCCGCCACAGCCTGCAAGAAGGGCCGTAAAAACTGCCACCAGAGCCAAAAGCCTGTGTCTCTGAGCACATGTAAGCTCACCTCGGGGAAGTACCCAAACTGCAAGTACAAAGAGAAGCAACTGGCCGCTTCTTACATTGTAGCCTGTGACCCTCCCCAGCCAGGGGACTCTGGGAAATTCAAGCTGGTCCCTGTGCACTTGGACAACGTCGTTTAGGTTTTCAGTCTTTCTCCCTCTTGGGCTGTGCCTTAATTCCCTCTCCAGGCCTCTGTGCAACTCTTTTTTTTTTTTAATACTTATTTATTTTTGAGAGAGGGGGGAGGGGCAGAGAGAGAAAGGGGGACAGAGGATCCGAAGTGGGCTCTGCACTGACAGAGGCGAGCCCAATGCGGGGCTCAAACTCATGAACCTTGAGATCATGACCTGAGCCAAAGTCGGATGTTCAACTGACTGAGCCACCCAGGCGCCCCTCTATCCTACTCTTCATACGCCCATAAGGTTCTTTTCCTCTCCTCTGTTAGGGCCTGTTCTCACTCGTCTGAGAGGCTGAGGGTGAGCTGAGGTAGACAGGTTGGTGGGCTAAGCTCCAGAAGTGATGGTCTTTCATCTCTTTGTTGCTGTTTTCCCGGAAGCTTACCCCCAAGAGAGGGGCTGAACAAGCTAGGAGTATGGGTTCTCTGGCCTGTGCCTTGTACATCTCTCCCCTAATAAAGGGACAAGGAGGATATGGGATTTATGGACAGAACTGTTCCTGTTCTTAAACTAGGAATCTTCCCCAGCTAATGTGGTAGTGATACGGCCCGTGTTATGTTGGGCCAGAGGCAGCTGGGAAGAAAGAAAACAAAGTACCACTTCATATTTATATAGCATTTTAGGCTTTTCATGGTGTAGCCACATGAGTTCCTTGTGAGATAGACTTGAGAGGGATTCCTTGCCTTCTTTAGGGGAGGAAATTGAGATTTCAGAAAGTGTAATTCATTAAAGAGCTTGTCAAATTAGTTCGTAGCAGAACCTGGACTTGCATTTAGGACTCCTTAGTCTAAATTCAGTGTACTTTGTACTTGACCATTATGCAAAAAAAGGAGAGACCTCTGCAGGCACAAGAGAACTAGGTAAGAGTTCACCCATGTACTCTGAGAGCTCTGAAGAGCCAGTTATCCTGTGCTGGCTGCAATAAAGGTCACTACCTCTCCAGCCAAGAGCTGTTTATGAGGTGCTCCAGGGATCTTAATTCATTCTTTCTCTGCCTCTCTAACTGAGCTCCCCCTTCTCCAGCCCACTGTTCATCTGACCCAGCCCCCTGGGCTTGGCTGTGGCTAAATCCCTTTGGCCTGAAGGCATTGGGTCAGGGGAGTGTCCCAGCTTCATCCCCCTGCTCCAGGATCACATTTCCCTTGACCTCAAGGGACTTCCGTGGCCCAGAGCCTGCTTGTCACAAACAGGCTGGTGGGAGCTGCCAGAGCTTCCTTCCTCTGATAATGATCTCTCCTGCTTCGGTGCTTCCCTGGCAGTCTGCCCAGGCCGGAGGGCTTGAGATGTGGAAATGCCATCTCCCTGTCCTCCCAGGGTGTAGGTACCACTTCTCCCTCTCTACTGAGCAGAACTAGAGAAGCCGTGGCTTCCCACTGGCTCTGATAGTGCCCAACCCCCCCCCCATTGCCCACAGCCCTAACCATCACTGGCATGTTCTCTATTTCAGTCCCAGACAAACTGCACTATGCCCATGGACACCCTACTTCAATGCCCAATTACCTTGTTAGACCTTCCCTCCCCAACTGGACAGTCATCCCTACCTGTCCCTCTCTGCCACCACCAGTGCTCCTTTACTCCTTACCAGAGTCAGAGTCATCTTTGGAGCCAGATAAAATTGGGTGTAAATCTTGGTTGGCTCAGTATTCCTGGCCAAGTGACCTCCAGCAAACTACTGAACCTCTCTGCAGCTGTGCTTCCACACAGCAAAATGGGAGTAATACCACCTACACAACAGGATTGCAGGAAGATTTAGAAATGATAGTTATGATGCCTTAAGCAGCTCTCAGCCCTGGTAGGCATTTAATAATGATCACTAGTAGTAGCAGATAGTCGTCCAGTCAAATCCACCTTGGCAAACATGCCAATGAAGGCAAATACCCCACTCAACTTTCCTTGAGGGTTTTCTTCTGCTAGAGTGATGTTCATGAGTAGCTAGAGGACAAGTCTGCAGAGTCCTGCTGGGTGGGCTGGTGGTTGGAGAGGAGGAGGAGCTACAATAGGGAGGAGATGATCAAAAGAAAGAGCAGACATTGAGCAATTCAAGCAGAGTGTGGGGCAATACATTGCTGAGTCTTGGAAGTAGAGGTGCACTAAATACACATTGTGGCCAAATATCAAATGACTAAATGTAAATCTATATATCCTATGGTCGTTATACTCTACATTTATCACTTTATTTTTTTAATGCTATTTATTTTTGAGAGAGAGAGAGAGAGTGCACAAGTGGTGGAGGAGCAGAGAGGGACAGAGGATCCAAAGCAGATTCTGTGCTGACAGCAGAGAGCCATGAGGGACTTGAACTCACTGTGAGCCAAACTTTGAGATCACAAACCAAACTGAGATCATGACCTGAGCCAAAGTCAGATGCGCAACCAACTGAGCCACTCAGGCACCCCATACAACTATCACTTTAAATAGATGGTTTCAATGAGGTGCATAGAAAAGCAAGATACTTGGGGATATTGATTTTTTCCCTTTATTATTTTTTTCACAACTCTTTATATATTCATATAAATATAAATTGTACAAATTGACGTATATCATATAAATATAAATTATATATACTGATGTTTTTCTTATGGATATTATGGTTTTGAAGACATCCTCCTCACAAAATGTTGAAGTGGCTATAATGATGCTTTTAATGCATCCTCTCAAAATGAGAAGAATTTCCAGATAAAACTTTTTCTTAAAAGATTCATGACCTAAATAGTACTAAGTAACTAAAAATCAAACACAATTCAAAATTAATCTGTGGTGGTTGAGTTCAGAATAATGGTATCTTGGGGAATACTAACTGGGAAGGGGTAAGATGTAATCTGGAAATGTTCTTTCTTGGTCTGGATATGTTTACTATGTGAAAACCCATTGAGCTGTACAATTAAGATGTGTATAGTCAACTGTTTGTACATTGTACCTCAATAAAAATATCCTCCTGAATATATAGTTCTTAAGAATTATTTTATTTAATATGATAAATGCTAATATACCAATCAATTCTATAAAGATTGTGATATAATGGAATCATAGATGGAATTATGATCTAAATGAATTTCTGTTGTTCTGTTCTATTTTTTTGAATTGAATAGTACTTATACTATTTATTAAATTGTTATAAATACTTTGGCTCAAAAAGTATACGACGTTCTTCTTAAAGTTGTTCAGCTAATATACTATCTCTTATCATATATTAACTGTCAACTGATTTTCCTATTCTATGTGAAAATTCTTCATTGTTTTATGTATAATATAAACTTTTACAATCATTAATTATTACAGCATTTTTCTTAAAATAATAAATGTGCATTTATACTTCTACTGACTGACAGAATTTCAACACTTAAAAAAGTTCACAAGGAAAATTTCACTCTAAATTACATTTAGAATGCCCACTAATATTTGAAAGTGATTCAGATATTAACAACGAATTCAAATGACTTGCTTGTTCTCATCACTGATGATTTAACTGATTAGGTTTGACAGTCACCCATTCCTTCACATGACTTTGATCACAGACATGTTGAGAGATGCCAAGAATAATGTTGAAATAAGCTTTTGACTATTCAACTTTCCAAAGGTCAAAGGTGAGGTCCAAAGTGAATAACAGGTTTGGGCCAATTACCAAGGCTGGCTGAAGCTTGATGCATTCCTACCTGGTGGTTGAAGAATGGGAAAAGGAGGCTGATTAGTTATTAAACATTTCTGTTTCTGGGTGTAGGAGCTTGGAGAGGGGAGGAGAGTATGTAGGGGAATGTTTCCCAGCCTTGCGTAGGTGGCTTTAAAGAAAATTGTTTTGGGGCTCCTGAGTGGCTCAGTCAGTTAAGCATCTGGCTCTTGATTTTGGCTCAGGTGAGGATCTCACAGGTCATGGGTTCAAGCCCCATGCTGTCAGAGCAGAACCTGTTTAAGATTCTCTCTTTCCCTCTCTCTCTGCCCCTACCCTGCTCATGCACTCGCACTCTCTCTCTCTCTCTCTCAAAATAAATAAATTTTTAGAAAAGAAAGAAAAAGAAAATTATTTCAACCTGGACCTAAGGAGTCCACTAAAGAAAGTAACCCCAATGGCACCTGGGTGGCTCAGTTGGTTGAGTGTCTGACTTGATTTCAGCTCAGGTCATGATCCCAGAGTCATGGAATCAAGCCGCACATCAGGCTACATTCTCTCTCTTCCTTTGCCCCTTTCCCCCATTCACTCTTTCTCTCTTTCTAAAAAAGAAAAGAAAAAGAAAATAACCCTAAAACTGGTGCTAGAGCTCACTCACTTTCCTACAAGTAAGAACTGAGGTAGATAGGTAGGAAACTTTTCTACATCACCCTGGTTCCCCAAGGTCTCCATACACTGAAGCAAATGACTCATAGACATTACAAAGAGGGCCAGCTGAGTCAATGTTAAAAGGAGGGTCCTGATCTCAAGGGCAGAATGTAGGAAAGAGAAAATACCTTTGAATGAGCCCCTTCTCCACACATTGATTTATATTGTCAATGGCCTTCTTCATAGAACCTATGGCTTTAAGGGAATAACCCTAGTGCTATGGCAAGAAATACACCAATGGCATTAACATTCAGGGATGCTCCTTTGAGAGAACCTTGGCCCATTCTTATGCTCTTGCAGCTTCCAAAAGGACTTTGAAGACTTTAGATACTCGCTCTTTTAAAGGTCTCCTCCTACCCCCATCCCACCAGGGAAGGTAGAAAGAGGAGCAGGTACAATTCTTGTCAGGATGTTTACCTGTACAGGACTCCAAAGCCAGTAAGCCTAGGAGCATCCATGAAGCCACAGAAGCTTGAGAAGACATCGCTAACAGGGCCGTGTAGGAAACCCTTGGTTCACAAGAGGGGAGGTAAGGAAAGATGCCTACTCATAAAGGAAATACATACTATGATGAAAATCCTCTTGACTTAGGGAGATGGGAATTTCCTATTTATATAAAGGTAACCTACTAGATGGGAGTATCAGGGAGATTAAATGTGACAATATATTTAAAGCACTTAGTACAGTGGCTGGCA